TGGGGGCTGCAGGGGCTAGGAAGGATCACTTACGGGCGGAATCTGTCGCCGCTGGAGCGGCGGCAGTCATGCCGCAGTGGCGGCGACTGTTACTGCCATAGAGGCTGGGGAAGTTGGCTGTCAGAGATGGGCAGAGTGGTCACTGTTGTGGTGGTTGTGCAGTGTAGGGAGGCGTCGGGCCACCCGTGGCATTGGACGGCAGCGTCGGTGGCCGGGAGTATTGGTCATTAGTGGGTATCAATGGTGTTCGCTAGCTGTGGTCACCATCAAATCGGATAATTGTATTAGCCATTAGGTATATTCGGGTAATTGTAACTGGACGGGTCGGATAAATGTAACTGCATGAGTCATATAATTGTAACTGGACGACTCAGGTAACTGTAGCTGGACGGATCGAGTAACTGTAACTGGACGAGTCGGATAATTGTAACTGACAAGTCGGGTAACTGTAAATGGACGGGTCGGATACCTGAAACTAACGAGTCGGGTAACTGTAACTGGACGGGTCGGGTAACTGTAACTGGACGAGTCAGATAACTGTAACTGACGGGTCGGGTAACTATAACTGAACGGGTCATGTAACTGCAAATGATGAGTTCGGTAACTGTAGCTAGTCGGATAATTGTAATTGGCGGCGGGTAACTATAACTAATCAAATCGGGTAACTGTAACTAGCAAGTCGGATAATTATAAATGGTTGAATCGGGTAACAGTAACTACATATAAAAATCATATAGTTTTTTAATGTTTTTTTAATCATATAATTTTTTTAATGTTGGAAATGGGTGTAGCATTTTGATGAAGCCGGAAGTGGCGGTTTGATTTACATGTACGAAACATTCATTAGTTGTTGGGGGTATCTTTGATATTTTCATTCAAACGTTTTTAAATGATTGGCACGGCGGGTCTCTTTTTTGGCTTTTACTAAAAGAGGTCCTAGATTTGTCAAACTACTTTTAATTAGTAACATCTATGACCTAACCCCCTCTAAAAAACACAGTAAGAAGCAAACAAATAATTCAAGTAAAAACACTAAACTAAAAACAGTAAGCAACACAGTAATAACAAAGGCTCTTACAAACACTAAACTAGAAAATAGTAAGAAACGCGCGAATAATTCAATTAAAAACACTAAACTAAAAAAACGGTAAGCAACAAACTAATAATAAAGGCTCTTACAAACACTAAACTAAAAAACAATAAGAAGCAAACAAATAATTCAAGTAAAATCACTAAACTGTAAAAAACAGTAAGCAACAAACAAATAATACAAGTACAAACACCAAACTAAAAAAAGAGTAACAAACAAACAAATAATTCAAGTAAAAATTTTAAACTAAAAAAATACAAAACAAACAAATAATACTACATCCGTCCCAAAAAAAGTTGCAAATTTGACTATTCTTAGTCAAACAGTCTCGTTGTTTACTTAATTAGGATGTCAATTTTTAATTATTTTCTAATTTGGAGTTTACAACTTTGAAGAGATTTTAATGCAGTTTTTGAATATTTAGATTTTAATTATTAAAAATTGAATTAATTATCTATAGGGAGGTTAGACTTTTATTATTGGTTGACCAAAAAATGTTGACTTTGCAAAACAAATTGGGACGGAGGGAGTACAAGTAAAAAAACATTAAACTAAATAACACAGTAAGAAACAAACCAATAATACAACTAAAATACAGTAAACTAAAAAAACCGAAACTAATCTTAGGGTTACCTTTTGCTGATCACTAATAAACGTCCAAGTAGCAGCAGTTTCAATGTCCAAACCATCCTTCAAAAGTGATAAAAATCCTCTCCAAGAATCAGTATTTTCTATCTCCACAACAGCCCACACGACGGGGTACATTTGGTTATTGGCATCCCTTTCAACCGTAGACAATATCTCACCCTTTAAAGCAGTCTTGATGAAGGAGTCATCCAGCCCTATTGTCTTCCTACACCATTTAAGGAAGCCTGCTTTCATAACACTAAAGCACACATACATTCTTTTGAACACACAAGGTCCTTGAGAAATGTGCCTCTCTATGAGGATTTTCACAGTGCATCCGGGATTATAGTCCAAACGTTCTTGTGCCTAATCACGTATTCTTTTAAATTTCTCTTCAAATTTGGCATTTATTGATTTCCGCACTGCATTTATTGTTCAACCAACCATCCAAACATTGGCATTGATTTTCAGCATGTGTACAATGTGTTTCTTCAGTTCTATATGGTCTATACTGGGATTATCACTGATCTTTGCCTCGTATGTGTCCTATATCCACTTCTGATTGACAACCAGTAAATGGAACCTCTGATTGAATCTATTTTAAGAGACGAGTGTCTTAATCTGAAAACAACCTAAGTTTCTTCCCTGGATGCTGAACACTCAAAGGGACAGTTTTTAACAAATTTGAATCTAACCCTCATTGGCCCGTTTTTTACAAAATGTATGTCCTTTTTCTCATGAATGGCTTTCCTTATTAGAGCATTTTTGAATGCTTTCCATCCATCAATCAAACAACATCCCCACATCCAATGTGGGTGGATGAGACTCATGATTGTAGAAAGGAAAGTTGGTTTTGACTCTATTTCTTGCTTCTTCTTCCTCATTTTCAAATACATAACTCGTGGGGTCCTCCCTGTCATTTTCGATCATTTTCACTCTCTTCAATATCCTGACTCCTTCTGTTTTTCTGAACTGTGCACTAACTTCATAAGTTTTTTCTGAATCTTCTTCATCATTATCCTCTTGGTCTTCATCCCCTGGAACAAAGTCTTCATCATCACTATTGGATCTATCTTATTCAAATGGTGTAGGATTAATTTCCATAGCAACACCCTCACTTTCAGAGTTTTCATTATTCATTTCAACATTTTCTACCACTTGTGTGTGTTCACATATCTGTCACATGCTTCACCTGCTTCATTTGCCATCCCAACATCATTACTTGCACCAATACACGACAACTCTGAATGATGGGAAGAATCATGTAACATGTGTTCGACATATATTTCAATTTCGCCTCATTTGGCAACTTCCTCAATCAAAATAACAGCATTGTAATCATCACTCGAGAGCCGTAACTGGTCCATGCCTTCATGACAAAGCTTATAGTAAAGATCCACAATGTTTGAATATATATTCTTTTTTTGCAAATTTAATGAGGTGAGGTTAAGAGATGTAGTCTGGGTTTACCTGTTTTGTTTTTCAACTTCACCATTCACATACGTAATTGTAGGATCTCGCGCAAAATTCCATCCATGGTGAATGTTTAAATACAATTGAGCAAACATTGTATAGCAATCAACAACCTGTTTCATACAAACATAAACTAATTTAATAAACTCATTGTACGCACAAAACCCTTTCAACTAAGATTTCAAATTTGAAAGCACTTTTAAATGGGAAATAACATACCTAAGTAAACCCTAGATGCAAGACATGGGCCACGCTAAAGCATGGAGATTGTAGGCGTGCCCAAGGATACCAAGTATTTTCTTCGCATCAACGGTCACTCTTCATTCTAATTTTAGGTTTGTGTTCCAACAATATGAAAATTTGAGATAAAGTGCTCTGTTCGAAGTGTACCATTTAAATGGGAACGTTTCAGTTCTCAAACGCGAAAGACAAGCTTTATGTCTTATTGTCCTACTCAACATCCATCTCTACGTTTTTCCCATATCCTATCAGATCCACGTTGGATATGATTATAAGCTTAGCGGTTAAGGACGGGAGAAAGCCGATGAAGAGGGCCTAATTGAGTTAATTTCACGGGTTAGAGTGTTTAGTTGTACAGTCAACCTATTGCAGGGCTTGATTGCAAATTACCGATTAGTTCAAGGGCTTATTTGCCTCTTTTTTTTTGTGAAGTTGGGTATGCACTTTTATTAGATTAAAAATGCTTAATAAAAAGTAACAAAAACTTAAACATTAACAAGCATCGGAAATCATATTTTCCTGTGTTAGTCGGGTTTTACCTGTCCGGATTGGGTTTTTCCGGATTGGTGAGGTTTATCCGGTTTTCACACTTTTGTCTTGATAATCCAGCAGGACATGGTTTGTCTTTAGACATAACTAAAATTTATTCCGCACAAGTTACTAGGAAAGGAATGGGTACAAACCTTAAATTGCAAATTATACAGCACACCTGGATGTACAGTGGTATCTTTGTGATTTGAATAGCTATAATAACACCATTAGTTCTTTTCTTTTTAGTATTTTCTCTTAATGGTCTTCCCCTTATGTCCCTTCGAGGACATCCAATAAATTTGGAACGATAATCTTTTGGGACTAAGGCTCGGTTGTTGTTGTTGTTATTGTTGTTGTTGTTGTTGGTCTTCCCCCTTAAGGCCTAAATGCTTTTGCTCTCTTCCATGACTTCTTCTCCTTTTCTTCGCACATATGTGTCTTTTCTTTGTGCTTTTTGAAATTTTTAGATTCAATTGAAGAGCTCTAATACTCAATAAAGAAGATTGGATGCTCAATGCAAATATCTTAATGTTAAACCAACAAAACTTATGTTTTGCATATCAAAGCAGATTTCACAAGTACAACATTAAATTAGATTCGTATAATAGAACTTGTAGCAGTTGGTAATGGATATAATTTAAGAATTTTATATTAAAAAAATGAAGTAGAAATCATGATAATCAATATTGGACTCTTAATATTCAACAAAATATATTTAGTGTTCAATACAAGTACAGTGAACTCAATTAGCAAACGCCTCAATTTGCAATAAAAATTAAAAAAATGTCGCAAGTTGTACAGTTTACACCATACAATCAGTGGTAAGGTATAGGAGCTAAATTAGGTATAAAAAAAGGACCAAAAGTAGCCATTAACCTCTTGCTCTATGGTCTCATTTTTTTCCTCCGCATTAGATTTGGCACTTTTTTACGAAATGCGGACATGTGAAAAGAGCGAGGAAATTAAAAAGGTATAAAGCAGAAGGATTTCTTGATACAAATTAACTTAAAAGGAAAAAGAATTTGTGAAATCGAACAAAAACGAGAGAATACTGCTCTAGATATAGGGAGTCAAAGATAATCCATCTATTTTTAATAGTGTTTTGTCCTCTTTTTTCACAATAATAACAATTCATAATAACATTAGGATTTGGAAATAGCCCCCTTTGGAGATGCTCTTAATATACACATCAACATGGGTTTGGCTAGTTGAAACAATGATTTCATCTTCCCAAATAATGAGAGTCGATCAACTTAAAGTCTCTAGCTACATGATTCTACAGAATAGTTAAATAAATGCTCTCTAAGTTGATCTAATCTAATCTAATGTAAATATACGACAAGACGCCTTGGACTCTGGATTCCATTCCCCCTTTTGGAAAAAGAATTGCCCGCGGAAATGTGTAGGATAGCTAGTTAACCCCCCTGCCACCTTCATTTTTACCTCTCCTCAGAGTTGAACTTGTTCCATGCAGCCTGAAGTTCAAAGCAAGAGGCAACATTAAAAAAAAAAAAGAAACTCAGCCAAGCCAAAAGCAATTACAATATTCGGCAAGAAAGTCTAGTAGTCTACTGTTATGTGGTCAAGGTTTTCACATTCAGTGTCAAGTATGGATTAAAACACACCTCGAGATGATGCTTTTCTTTCAGGATGAGTTAGCTAATTTAATGATAGTATGTAATATGGTATCATAGTTTGATCTGATTGTCAGCCATTTGTTTATGTGGCACCTCGTAATTTAAGTTAGTCTCATAGGGCCCAGGTTTGAGTAACTTATCCGCACCTCAAGCTGTTCCCCTCAATTTTAACTGAACGGTGTATTAAGCGTCATACATCAAGTGTTTAGCACAATAATATCAAATATATACAAGTATCAGGCAAGCCTCACCTTTTAGGGTGAATAAGGCATGATTTAAATGGGTTCAGAACTTCAAACCATGAAAAGGAAGAAACAGGTCGACACCACCCTACACTTGGTGCACCATTCCACAGTATGCTCCCCGTTGATCCACACATAGTCACTCACTATGTGCATATCAACGGTTATAAGGCACCCCGTGCACCAGGTGTAGGGTGCATTATGGAAACAAAGAGGCATTTCAACAACACACCTTGAGCATGTCAAAAACCTTCTCACATATGTACTTTTGCTGAATACTTGCTCTCCTTTGCTGCAATTTGTCAGGATGAACACAAAGAGTAGCTTTCCTGTAACCTTTTTTTACCGCAGATGTGGTTATGATCTCAGTGAGAGAGATTGGTTGCCAACCGCTATCAGGTCCAAGGATCTGCATGGCCAAAAAAGTAAGTCCAAACATGAGCAAAGATACTGATACTATACTATATCAGCAAATAGGTTTTTTGCCAAAAGTAGTGTTTAAAGATTAAAGCTATATTGATTCTGATAATTCTGATCTCAAATCTAGAGCTACTAGCACTGCCACATGATAGGCTGACAATATATTAAAGGGGGGGGGGGGATATACTCTAAAATCTATAGATAACTAAAATATTCTAGAACTAGACAAGTTAGGGGGGCTGCATGTTAAAAACTAGCAAAAAAGTGTGAAACATTATTACATGTAAGATAAATTTTTTAAAGAAATGTGTAAAATATGAGTAAAAGATGGGTTATGTGTGCCTAAATAGAATCATCTTTATTTTCTATACACATAGGATTCAGTCAGTCTTAAAAAAGAATAAAAGTAGTTAATAATTCTTTTTCTATGATTGAGAGAGTCCGTTTTAAAAAAAAACGATATTGGTCCTAGTTGTAGAAATTTGTTATATTTTTGTTCTATTTATGGAACTTTTTCTATTTTTTCCAACCCGAGGGAAAACATTTTAAGGCCCCTTTCTTAGATCTCCCACCGCACCTATTTGTTTGTTGCTACTGGAAAATGGCTGGGAGTGGAGGGAAAGATAAATACATACATATTGGAGAGTAGAAAGAAGTGCTCGCAGGTTCCCTTCCTTCCCACTAGCCCATCTCTTGATCTCAGCATCCAATGATTGTGCTAGTCTCTGCAATAAAATGGAAGGGGTTCATTATTATCGTGCAAACGTAAATGAACGCTATAAACAATTCATAATTGATACAAGGAAGAATTACATTTCTCTCTGCTTGCTCTTTCTGAGCTAGAAGATCACGCATGTTCTTCTCTGCTAAAGCTTTTGCCTGAAAAGTACCCATTCAGAAGAGAGAAAACTCAGATAAGGACCATAACTGTTGGATCACAATTATCTTATGAGCATGACATACCGCTCGTTCTGTTATCCTCTGGTGCCTTTCCAGTATCGCTTTACGCCTCTGAGCTGATCCATTGGTTGCGCTAATCCTCTCCAAGTCCTGCACAAGCTAAATCATTATCCTAGATGTGACATGCTTGCAAAAGTTGTGTTTAAGTGTCCTATCTCTTGAAGATTCTTTTGGGGTGTGTTGGGCTAATTTAATAGTGTCAAATATAGGTCCGGTTGTGGTTTGTTTGTCTACTTGCACACATTATTTGGGTAAACTGTTTAGGGTAATTTAGCCTATTTGTCAACCTCAAGTCATTCTTAAGCCTGGTTTAGGTTAAGGAGACTTAAGTGTCTCAGACTCTCCCCTCTTGAGGTTCCTTTTGGAGTCAGTTAGGCCCAAGTTAATAGAATTCAGGAATGGGTGGGGTCACTCAATTGGGTTATAAGACACTGAGATCAAACCACACTAAGAGACTGAATTCAATTTTTACCTAGTTCACCCAAATTCTTATTAACTCATCATTCTCTCCTCGTTTTTTTCATGTGAGACTCCAATAGTCTGTTTGAATAGAGTGATTTTTCAAACAAGTCAGATGAACGTAACTAAACCTAGGTCTGGTTATAACTGGTTGAACCTCGGTGAACCAGGTGCATATATAAAATTGTAGTTTGAGTAAATATTTGGTTAATCTGGATGAAAATAATAAATGTTTGTTTGGTAAATTAGCAGTTAAATGAGCATGATATTATTACTCATAAATATAAGTTGGCCTCCAAAAACCTCTAATTAGGAGTTCTCCAGAACTAGACAAAGGACAAAAACACTCACAGAAGAAGACAGAGAATGCTTCAATCCATTTTCTTGAGAAGAAGCACCAGAATACTTTGTATTACCACCAAGTTTTTCAGCCACTACTTTAACTTCAGCAGTGGACTTGAGCGACATAGCCTTTTCTAAAGCACGCTCACGTGCTTCAGCAGTGGCTCTCTCCACAGCAGCACGTTCTGCTCTAAGCTTTGCTTCAGAAGAAGCTTTTCCAACTGACTGTTTGTTGTTTCCAGCAGAAGAAGAAGAAGACTTTCCTGCCTTTTCCCTTGCTTCAGTCATTGCCCTCTGTCGAACTTCAGCTGTTGCCCTTTCCACAGCAGCCCTTTCGCGGGCCTCAGCAAATGCTCTCTCGCGAGCTTCACGGATGGCTCTTTCCACAACTATTCTTTCTCGGTCACGCTCTCTTTCTTTCTTGTCCACTCCAACTTTACTGTATTGATCTTTATTATCTCCCCCACCTTTCCCCCCAGATTTTTTAACTTCATGCTCCTCAGGGACAGCGATTTTCTTGTCTTCTTCATAACCAACTGTAGATTCTTCATTTTTGGTCAAGGGAACATGAGAAGGTTCCTGTTCCTTCTGATTCACAGCAGGGCTGCTTTCTTTACCAATGGCTACAAATTCTTTATATGCTTCATCATCATAGACGGAATCAGCCTCCTTGATGGTTTCATCGTCCCCTGCAGATTCGTCTACTCTCCAGTACTCTCCATTGAAAGCATTGGAAGGAAACTCTGATTCTTTACCATTCTCTGAAATTATTTGTTCTCCGAGGCCTATAACTTCTTCAGGAGTTTGGATCTTCGGCTCATCATCTGAATTGCATCCAATGACATTCTCATCAGGTGTGTTACTGGCCATACCATCTTTTTCAAATTCAACACTTTCATGTGTTTGAATTAGATTCTCAGGAATCAAACTATCTGTTCTGGAACCTTCCTTCTCATTTGGAATTTCTTGCTCATGCGCCATAGAAGCAATACTTTCTCCAGAGGCATCACAGTAAAGGTCATCACTAGTGTCTTGCCTTTCATTCTGCTCATCCTGGCATATATCACTTTCGTGAGCACTTTGAAGGCCACCATTACTGCCGGGTTCCTTGGAGAAAATATCAGTTATCCCCTGCAGTCCCTCATTCTCTTTATAAGATATATTCTGTTCATTTGTTTCCAAACTGACTTCTTTTGTTGGCGATGTGCATTCTTCTCCAATCTCATGTAAACTACAACTTTCACCGCTATTAGATGCAGAAGTCAGGTGAGTCTTCACCTCATCTTCAGCCTCAAGTGTAACTTCATTGGCCCCACTTTGCGCACATGCAGTTTCTTCTTCCCGGTTGAGGATTACAGTGCTTTCCTGATATTCTTTGTCTTTACTCTCAAATTCTTCATCCCCACTTTGAGTTAAATTTATATCCTGATATTCATCATCTGTATCAGTTTCTACTTCTACATACTCACTTTCTTCTCCAGCAGCTTTATTTGCTTCAATATGTTGATTTTCATGCCTTTCATCAGTCTTCTCAATCTGAATACAATCACTTACCTCATCGGTGAAAATCTCTTGAACACTCTCCTCCACTCTTGCATGTTCTTCTTCTTCATCAGTCTTCTTCTCAGAGCTTTCCAGTGCATGTGTTTCAGGCTCTTGAACCTCATCCGATTGCCTTACATGATCTTCATCTAGTCTCTCTGTTTCTTTGGAAACATTAATGTCAGGCATGTCAACTCTATTTGATCTCACTCCGTCTTTTCCCCCTACTTGAAAAACTTGGTGACTGCCCTCACAGCTTTCTTCAATCTCAAACCAAAAATCAATTCCATTTCCTCTATGTTCAAACTCAGTTTCTCTTTTGTTCCACGTCTTCCGTACTCTCCTGGTTATTTTTTCACAGTTAGGAACAACTTCTACTTCCTTCTGCAGCTCATCACATTCCACATGCTCCAGCTTTTCCTTCTCACTTTTGGATGGTTTCTCAAATCCATCGTCTCGAGCATCATTTTCCAGCTCTTGGGCCATAAAGTTTTCATCTTTATCATTATCTTGCATTTTCTCCAGATTCTCCAAATCATTAGAAGACCCACCTCTCTCCTTACTGAGTTCAAATTCATTATTGACATTCATATTTTCACTTTTTCCTGGTTTGGCCATAACAAGAACCGGAATGCACGACCCGTGGAGGACATTCATCTTCACTGACGCAACCGCCTGCTCCTCTGAATCTAAGTTTCTCACATTTACCCCCAGCTGTCCAGTTCTTCCAGAAAACTCTTTGCCCCTTGGATCAGGACCCTTTTCAGATATTACCTTCGTATCCTTATTCTTTTTCTTCCCATGCTGCGATGTAACGGTCCACTTTTCGTGTTTTGTGGCATTTAACATTTCAAAAAACAAAGTTTCAGAATTATGGTCCCCATTAATAGAGAGTTCCTCACATTGTTTGAGGCACGAAGCAATATCACCATTTCTAATTGCATGATGGTTAGGAGAATCAGTGTTTTTCCCCTTCATATTCTTCGAGTTGTTCCCTTTTATACAATCCTGTTTATCATCCCCAACTTTAGAACTCCGCTGCTTTTGATGACCTGGAATACCCTCTTTGTATCTTTCCATGAGCTCTTTCGCCAGCCTTATACTCTCTTGAGCCTTCTCCATGGCCCTCTTCAGAGCAGCAGCAGAAACAGCTGCATCTGAATTCACATCAAGCTCCTCATCAGAAGAAAGTGGTGATGCTGAGTTTACACCCTGTTTGGATTTGGATTTTGTTTGTGTACGAAGATTGGTTTCATCATCCAATGAACTTGGAGGGTTAGTCACTTTAGATGGAACTGACTCGGGATTAGATAGATTACCGCTGAAATTGAATCCATCCAAACTATAGCTTTTGGCTATCTCCCCACTGAAGCTTTTCTTGTCATGTTTCACGTGTAGAGGCGGCAGTGGTGGTGATGGTGGTGGTGGTGATGGTGGTGGTGGTGATGGTGGTGGTGGCTCAATGCCATCAGTTGTCTTTAGGCGGGCTGTTTCGTCTATAAAAAAGGTAAATCCAGGAACAGCATGGAGTTGAGCAATACGTGTCATCCCATTTAAACCATCTTCAGTTCCTTGAATGCTGGTCTTATTATAGGACATGTTAACACGCTTTTCCCCATCAAAAGATTGATCAGAAGAAGAATCACACGTGAAGGCTTCATTTGTTTCATTTGAAGTACTAAAATGATTGGATTCTTGAGAACGAGTCCTGCAAAAAGTAGTGTTTCAACACAGGTAAATGTCACATAACTAAATTTCTAGAGCATGATGAAGTAATAAGAGATATTCTAGCAGAAGCAATTCAGAAACCCCAAAACCATGAAAGAGTTGCTTAATTTGAATCCATCTACTACTTCATATATGAAAATACCACAAAGAGCCCATCTGTATACAAACTCAAATTTGAGAATTTCTCAAGTTTCATTCTTCATACACATAGCAGCCCAAGATAAACTGAAAAGTGACAGCAAATACACGTACGCAGTATTACTACTTTCCTCAAGTGGCTGTTCTTTTTTATTTTAACTTTTAACCTGATATATTAGTTCATTAGTAGTAGAAAAAAAGAAAAGAAAAGAAAATCTTGAAAACAAGACTCCCCATTAACTATAAAAAGCTAGAAAAAAAACTTATTTTCTTTTTAACAATTCTCACCGATCAAAACTGTTTAATAACCCGACATTGCAGAAAATACCACCATAAAAAAGGTCAACAAAATCATGTATATGATCTAATGATCACCTAAAATGTCACATAACCCAGTGATATAAAAAACCAATAGTTGAAAAGCATGATTTGAAAAAGGAAAAAAAAACTTCCCAAAATAAGAACTCACTTAGCTTGACTAGAAGACCGTTGTTTTCCTCTTTTAGCAATCACATCCTCGTAAGGCAAAGCAATATCCTCATCAGCAAAACCACCAAAAATGTTGGAATAATCAATTTTAGAGCTCCGAAAATCCTCCACCGACGCGCCGGCCCGGTCCTCGAGAACTGAAAGATCAAGAACCGGAATGGACGACCCGCGGGAAGGCCCGAAAATCTCAGCGTAGTCCCAGACGGGTCTGGTCGGTCCGGGTCCTCGCTTCTTCGGGGTGGACGAGAAAACGTCGTCGTACGCGTTTTTCGCTGAAAATGAGACGCCATTGGCTGCGCTGTTGAGCTTCCGTCTGTGAGATGGCCGTGATAAAGACTCCATTTACAGTGACAGAGATGAACAGAGAGTAGAGGCTCTAGCTAGGGTTTGAAACAATTTAACTTTTCCTTACAAAAATTCCTTCTTTTTTGTGTGGGGGGAATTCTTCTCTGCTTACTTCGAAGGTGTAGTTTGTCTGCACACAAATTTTCGGCAAGCAGACAGACAGACAAGGACGAGGAAAGAGAAAGAAATAAAGGAAAAGATGAAAGGCAACAAAACGCTTTGAAAAACTAATAATCATGCCACCCTCTCCCTCCTGATTCTCTTTACAACTTTCTTTCTTTTTGTAATTTTTCCAATTTTAGTTTTTCATTTTTTTAGACCAATTAAATCGTGGTATCACACTGTTACCATACTGCACTCATACAAAAATGCCGACATTTTACTTAAATGTTAATAAATGATTTAGCTATCTCACTGTTTGTCTGTATTTCTTTGTTCTTCTTTGCCAATTCTCACCATTTCCTAGCATTCTGGTTGATCCAAAAAAAAGGGTGGAATCTCCCATCCCGGAGTTCCTCATGCCCCGACCTGACAGGGCACATGGAAGCATGTAAATCACGGTGACTCAGTCATTAAAGTGGTAGTACGCTCATATACATGTGCGCGTCAGAGGTCCAACCCATTTCAGAGGCTGTAACCTTCACACAATCGTTGCGGGATTCGAACTTTGATCCTTGATCCAAATTTCTCACTACTCAATCAACTAAACTACTCGTGCGGGTCATTTCCTGGCATTCTAAGTTCTATTGGAAACTGCCTAAAATAACACTCTCTTCGTATTTAAAAGTTTGCTACATAAAATTTTGGACATTTTATTTAAGCGTGAAATAGCAAGGATAATGAATAGTATGAAAAAAGTAAGATAACTAATGAAATATTATGAAAATGAAGATGCGAGTAGAAAAGTAAAAATAATTGAGTGTTTCTAAATGAAAAATTTAACAATCAAGGAAAGTATATAAAACATTTGAATACTGCAAAAAAATCAAAATGTAGCAAAGTTTAAAATATGGAGGCAAAGTCTCAAAAAATGAGTATTATGTTTAAGATTTATATAGGAGTACGCATTCTTATCATACGTTGCCATTATCAAGTTTTACATAGTCACTTTATCTCTTATAACTTTGACATTTAATCAATTAATATGTGATTTATAGTATCACTTTTAATTAACTAATTTTTGGTTTCTATTATTCCTCTCTGTTGCACAAACCGCAATCACGCATGTTGTACTTTATTATTCGTCATACGGGTCAAACTAGTTTGTCAACGATTTAAGGGACGGATGAAGTAATTTTATTATTTTTGTGTCGGTCAAACTTGGCTAAGTGTTAAGAGACGGATGAATTTTGACATTATGCTTGTATTATTGGTAGTATTTTACAAGGGAAAGTTCCCAAAATGGGACTAAAAAAGTTCGAAAATTCCAAAATAGAACTGTCATGTTTTTATTCCCAAAATAGGACTAATTACTGTCAAATTTGGAAAATACTGCCATGTTTGAAGTCTGGTACTGCCAAAACATGGCAGTAATTAGTCCTATTTTGGGAATAAAAACATGGAAGTCCTATTTTGGAATTTTCAAACTTTTTTAGTCCCATTTTGGGTAATATCTCATTTTACAAACATCAAAGTAATTACTATTATTTAGAGAATACAAATATAGTGTTGCTTTTTTGAATTGAAAATGGTTACACTTCTGTTTAGTTAATTTCTTATTATTTCCTTCTTTAATTTGAAATGTGAATTTTCATCATGTATTCAAATGATTTTCACCTATCTCAACTATTTATACTTTTCTTCAACGTACATCATAAATTTATTACTCATGTAGAATATGTCTTATAATGATGTGTTAATATATCAAGTCCCTTTTATTGTACTTTAGATTAGAATCACTTTCTACTCTTTTTGACAACACTCTCCTTTCAAAAAAAACAACACTCTCAATTATATTATAGCCGGATTGCTCTTTTGGTTTAAGTGGTTTACGTTTTCAATCCAAGAAAATTTATCTTATCCATTAATAACAACTTCTCAGACTTAACACCAAATATTTTTGAAATCATCTAACATGAATTGACTTATAGCTCTGGAGCCAAAAGCAATAGAAGTACATAATAATAATGGTCGTGATCGATTAATACCATCACACGGGACAAAATGAATAGCTTCAGCATTCTCTACGAGTGCTATGAATGCTTGGAGCCTTGGACCAGTACCAAGACTGCTCGACACCATGCTAGGGGTGGATAGTCGTGCGTTAATCCATATCATACACAGGTAACGAGGTCGCTCCGACATGAGACAGGCAGACTGGATGATATACTTTTGAACTTTAAAGTACTACATAACTGTTGGATTTTAATGACTGAAAAGATCTTAAAAAAAAGTGGTAATTGTTTGGTAAAAAGTCGACTGTTTTATTTGGTTTCGTTTGGCATACAAACTGTTATGACAAATTAATACTAAAAATCACAGTCTTTTCTCAGATGCTGCTCGCCGTAGCATCTAAAAAAAATCTTTTATTTTTTGAAAAACTCTTAAAATTTGTCATATCAGACATACAACTAAAAGCTTGTTGAAATTTTTAAACAATACAAAAATCAGAAGTTAGAGACTTATGTCTGCCAAACATTCATTTATTAGAAGAAGGCCTAGCTAGCACATGGACAACACTCCTATTTAATGTAAACCCTATATTTATCGGAAGGACATTTGATTTGATGTCCGAAAATGAGGAGAAATTGAGAAGGTAAGAATAGCCCAATGAAGGACCGTTATGATGACCTCCTCAGTTACCAACTCCCGCTATAAATATATCATCGTAATTCTTTTGATTTCATTACTACTCTAGTTACTAATCATATATTTTTGTAAATCATCTTTATTTTGGTCATATTTATGTAATTATTTCTAACTTGTACTAGACTATTAGTGGAGTAATCTTCCGGTCACGAATTTCCTGACCGGAGCGCCGTCCGACCTCCTCCTTTTGGGGGGCTTTCTGTTGGTATTTTTTGCTCAAATTTTTTGTGTATGTTACTCATCAAGTATAGTTCATCCATACCAAATTTGAGCCAAAAATTCAATCGGGAAGGTCATCAAATGATTTTTGCAAGTTAACTGGTCCAGAATATACATATTTGAGGATGGATGAACTAGGTTTGACGAGGAACAAACACAAAAAATACCACCGGGAAGGCCCCCAAACGGAGGAGACTAGGAGGCCGGACGGGGCTCCTGTCCGGAAATTCCGGACAGGAATAATCCTGCTATTAGTGAATGGTTAAAGCAATAACTGGGCATGTTAGGGCCAAGTACGAGTATATATGTTTCAAGGGGTTAAATGTTAATTCCGAGACTAATAGGGGGTTTAAGTCTTATTCTCATTATTTCTCCTTTTCATATGTTTTTTATGTTTTTTTCAGTCCGGGGGGCGTATGGGGGTTGAGAGAGCCTGGAGTAATCTAGGCTGAAACTCACTGCATTACGTTTCGAATCCGAGATCTCCCGTAAGAGATAGTGAGTCGGCGACCAGCTGTCAGCTGAGCTGAGCCGCTTCCTCTCTCCTTTTCATATCTCTAAGAGCCCGTTTGGAGAACTCTGTTTTCGGCTTATCAGGCTTATCAGCCAGCTTTTTCACCAAACACGTAACTTTTACTTTCGCGCGCTGAATTGTGTAATAAGCCGAAAAAGTAAGGTTGGAGTTACTTTTCTGGCTGTATTGGCTGAAGTTACTGTAGAGGACCATTTTAGCTATTTTTACATATAATTTTTTCTTTAATTTATTCATAAAATATATTTTTAAAATATTTTTTTCTTAAATCAGCAGAATCAGCCAAAACAGCCACTCCAGCCAGAATATCATAAATTTCAGCAGAATCAGCCAAAACAGCCGATTTTGGTGCTACCAAACGGGCTCTAAATTTTATCATCCTTGTGTAAATCAACAAAAACATAACTGAAATATGTCACCTTTTAAATCAAACATAAACCAATGCCTTATGTAACAAAATACTTACCGTACACACTAGTTTGCATCTCTTATACTGACGTTAACATTAAAATTTCCTGCAGCACCATCTTCATTACTAAACATAATTAAGTCACATGATAACTTTATAGATAAACAATTAATTGCAAACAAAAGACAAACGAGACAACAAATAAATATGGTTAAAATGTGAATTTGTTCTTCAATGTAAATTTTCATTCAATTTTTCAACCTTGCAAGTTAAATTTGCATATACTTTTTTAAATAAAATCCAAAAAACAAAAGAGGAAAAACAAATGAATAACATGACGGAAATATATGAAAAAATTGAAAAGTAGATTAGATTGGCATCGTTTAGGGATTTTTTTTTTGGAAGAACATCGTTTAGGGACTTGAATATGCAGAACATTTTTCATGTTGTTTTCTGCTAAACAAGGCACATATAAGTTATTTTTTTTTCTTTTTTGGCACATATAAGTTATATTTAGAGGCGCAATGTCGTTTAGTTAAGAACACAATTTTCGTCTCCACGATATTCAAATCTCATCTTATATGAGCTACACTTTAAAAAACATGTATTACCAGGGACGGATCCAGGATTTCTATTCAAGGGGGGCGAAATTTTTCGGTAGTGTAGGGGGTGAAAAAATTTTCGTTAGTGTAGTGGGGCGAAATTTTTTCCCCTAGTGTAGCGGGGCGAATTTTTTCCGCTACTGTAGGGCTATGCGGCTAATTTTATTCAAAAAATGACATTAATACATACACATCCCCAACGACATTTAAATCTATTAAGTTGTACATTCTAAGTTTAAATTAGACGATGACAAAGACATCAACCAATACATTTTTAATAACTTCTACATTGTTTAACCTCATGAATCGGTTATTATTGAATTGTAATTTTTGTCCGGCCACCAAGGAAGGTGTTCGTGAGTCATGACTCATGAGCAGTTTTCTTAATATTACAATAGTAGTATGTATGATATTATTATTTTTAGAATAGTATGCACCACACACACACATATTGTGCATATTATATTTTAATATTTGTATTAATGCTATAGTAATTTAAAGTTTATTATCTATGCAATAAATTATTTTTAGAAAGCAAGAAGTAAATGAATTGTGTACGTAATTTAATGTCAATAAACATTTATATTTTGGATTCATTTCACGTGATCTAAAAACTGTGTAATTAGTGTGTCTGATATTTAATATTGTTTGATATATATTTTACAAAATCAAGTACTTGTTATCTAATAAAAATAATTAAACATTACAAAACTAGGAATTCTTATATAATAAGTATCCTAAATCTTAAACAACGAGTTATTCTATTGTTTATTTGTTTAAGTTATGTTATTATTTTAGATGTTTCTTCTTTTAAATCTTCAATTAAGTATTACATTATGTAACACTATATATTACTTTTGAAAATTAAAAGCTAAGGGGGGCGAATCTAATTAAATTATGAAATTTTTATGAAAATATTACATATATGGTAGAAAATTTTGAAAGTCCAAGGGGGCGGTCGCCCCCCGCGCCCCCCCTAAATCCATCCCTGTGTATTACGTAATTTATACTATTTCTACATATATTTTCAAAACTCTTCTTTTATACTATTATCATTTTGTGTGATCGTCATTGATACACTACACGAATCATCAATCATAGATTTGATAGGTATTCCCGTTTAGGAAAGATATTTATCGTTGATCAGATAAACAGTGTTTAACGGAAAAATGAAAGTATGATACGGTGATGGGAGAATGAGCGTAAAATGCATTGCCAATATATTATTCAATTATTTTAGAGAGAATAATATATAGACAAATTATATAAATATTCATTTTCAACCACTATACGAAGTATATGTTAAGGAAAACACAGAATTAGTACGATAATAAAAACAAATGTATTTTTACTACCACTAGTGCCAATTTAAATAATAATTTCATTATTTCATGTCACCGGTAAAGGGAAAGTACCAACCAGCGCATAAGTGAAACATAAATTGCCCTAAATAGGAATAAAAACGTTCTGAAATTCCAAAATAGGACTATCATGTTTTTTTATTCTCTGAATATGATTAATCTGTCAAGTTTGGAAAAAATTACCATGTTTAAAGTCTAGTAATGCCAAACTTGTCAGAAATTTACTCATATTTAGGGAATAAAAAACATAATAGTCCTATTTTGGAAATTCAAAACGTTTTAGCTCCTATTTAGGGAATTCTCTCTAAGTGAAAGGGTGGGAGGGAACCTGTAAATATTTGTCAAAGAAATGAACCGACAAGAATCCGTTGAAAGTTCTGAACGAACCCAGGCGAGCCGCATTGGAAAAGGAGCACTTTTGGGTGTGTAGTCGTTGGCCTGGTATTGGATCCCTTACCGCCGCCGCATAGGAGATCCTCGTCTTCAAAGTCACAAGTCTAGATCCCTCTGCCGACGGCATTACTGCTGCACAGGCTTCAAGTTGTTCGAAGACGCGCATGTCTAGAAAGAAGGAGGAGCATCTCTCTAAGCGTTGGTCAACTCAAAAATATTTGTAAGTATTTATGACACTCATATCTTGTTGTATGTTCGAGGTATTTTTTGGATTTATCATTTGCCTCTCTAGAAGATCATGATCTGCTTTCTTACTAATCACAAATGATTAAAACGCCATCTCCCAACACCCTCATTATTTTGCAATTAGGAAGTCGCAACATCGTTTGGAAATTTGATATGATGAACCAAGCACCAAGGACCCAATCATTAGTGATTAGTCATTCTTTAATCTTTAACATCACATAAGTTTAATTGTGGATATAATAAAAAATAAGGACGTAGACTACTTTATTACTACTCCGTAGATAGAGGGATTTAGAGAGCCAAATAAGTTTCCTCAAAAGACATACTTTTGCTTTTCCTTTAACTTTTTTTTAACTTTTTTGTCATTGGTATATGATGACATGCGGCTATTCATTTCCCATTATCTCACTTTGATTGATGAACTTCTTTAGAAAAATTGACACCAAAGTATTCATTAATTAATAAGATAAATGATCCGCCACTTGAGTTTTGCTACTGATAGTACGCCGTATATAAACTAAAAATGGTGAGTTATGAGCCGAAGATTCATAGCACAAAAAACGTGTTCAAGTGCGGGCCGTTTTTTTTCCTTTGAATTTTATACTTGATGGTTTGGACGAGCCTCGTTTGGCCCACAACAAAGGGATTTAAGGAGTGTTTTCTATCGCTTAATAAAAGTGCTTTTAATACAAGTCATTCTTATATGTACTCCGTATATATGTATATATTTACTGATGAAGACGGAGGTGAGAACTCCCAGATTTGGATTAGGGAAATATGAGGGAAGCATATGGCCGGCGGCGGGAAATCTGAGGGAAGCATATGGCCGGCGGCGGGAAATCTGAGGGAAGCATATGGTCGGCGGCAGAAAATATGAGGGAAGCATATGGCCGGCGGCGGAAAATCTGAGGGAAGCATATGGCCAGCGGCGCCCGATTGAATCACCTTTGCTCTTATAGACTCTCGGTCGTCTATTGAAGAGTCTTCTCCTTACACGGAAGTTATCTTCAAGGTTTAGGTGCCATGGCCGAAAGAATTGATTTAGCAGCAAACATAAGTTCTGAAAGAATGGTCCGTAGAGGAAGCATGTTATTTTAGGGCATATTTGTAATTTTAGAAAACATTACATCAAAAATCACTTTTTTCCCAAACACTTTAACTTTTTTATTAGAATCACTTCTGTTTTAAAACACTACCAACTTTCACTACAAATCACTTTCTCAACAATCACTTTAAAAAATCACTTTTTTAAAGTTGAAGCAATCGCAAACGCCCCCTTAGGTAGTGTTTGCAAAAGATTAAAAAAAAGCACTGTTCACCTTCTGGCTTAAAAAAAGTAGAAATCAGTGTTTGCAAACTCTTACTTCTACTTAAAAAAGCACTTTAAAGCCAAAAGCTGGAAGCTGGTATTTGGCTTCTTCTAACTGCTTCTAGGTTTTTTTGTAAATAAAGCAAACCCCAAGGACATTAATAATGACAAATTTATTGATCCAAAACCCAAAAAGCCCTTCTTCTTCCGCATCCTCCAATGCTTTGCTGCAACTGTCCGACTCCATTTCAAGTTCTATTTTGCTTCCTTTATATATTTATAATTATACGATATTATATATTATGTATACAAAAATTGCAAACTTCAGAAGAAATCAGAAATCGGAACCCTCCTCTTCGCTTCTCACTGCAACTACTTCGCGGCTCTCATGCTTCCCACAATCGAGAAAATTAAAAATTGATATTCTTCATCTTTAGATACATGAATATATATACTCGTATATATATATATATACACACACACACTATGCTAGCATCCCTTGAATAGAAATACGCTATTACCAGGGAGCACCGTCTCTATGAGCACTGTCCCAATATCCCAAATTCCCATTTGTATGTAATATATAGAAGGTTATATTTGTACTTTAACAAATTAATACCTCAAAAAAGCACTTTTTTTATCAAACATTCCAACTTTTACCTTTTAATAAAAATCACTTCTATTTCCAAACACTATCCACTTTTACTTTAAATCACTTTTTCAATAATCTCTTAAAAAATCACTTTTAAAAAGCAAAAGTAATCGCAAACACTCCCGGCCTGGAAATCACGTGTCCATATCTATCTAGTGCAAATTACCCGTATAGTCTACTTTTGGGTACCAAATATCGTTTATCGCTCAACTAATCTTTCTTTTCATTTTTAACTCTTCTCTTTTCAATATTGGTTTTTTATTTCATTTTTAGGCTATTTCACCGATCCCTCCCCAAATAGTGTAATATCATGAGAGAGAGATGCAGATGAGAGCAATTTTCCGAGACGCAGAGGAGAGCGATGGAGATACGCTGAATAGATTTCCAATCGGTGTTTCTCAAACCTGGGAGAGCGACGGAGAGACGCAGAAGAGATTTATGATCGGTGTTTTTCAAATCTGGGAGAACGACAGAGAGACTTCCAACTCTCATCTCAGGGAAGGTCCCATAGCCGGAATTAAGCATGACCGAAAAAGTGTGTTCGGATTCCTCGTTTCAGCATCGCCAGGCAGCCATGCTATCCATTTGTTGGTCTCCAGGCTGGAAACAAAGAGAAGAGTAGCGACGATAAAGGTATACCTCAGGATTTTGGACAATAAGATTAAAGTCTATTAAATCCAATTCATTGCCTTCATCAACCTAAGTGTTATAATTCTCCATTGATAGACCTTCTTCGTGCCTTTAGTCGGTTTCTCCACTTTGATGATTAATTTTTTTTATTGTTTTTCATTTTAGTAATCCTTCTAGGATTACAATTAATAAATAAGGGCACCGATACAGTGATACTCTATTTCATTCTTTTCCATTTGCTTTTAGTTTTATCAGTATTACTGGATCCTATTAGATTTCTCTAGATGAAAAGCATCCTGGATGTTACCATTCATCCTGAATGAATAAATGCGTATCTCAATCTAACAGGCTTATTGTTTACTACCAGATATATCAGATTATTATGATGTTAGGTATTGATGCAAAGAAGCTAATGCTTGCTCTAACTGTTGGTCACTGATGACTGATGAGAGTTTATGATGAAGTCTCTGGAGTCCATTTGTAAACCTATTATCGGCACTTCCAACTTGCCAAGTGCCAACTTAATGGGGATCAAGGTCCAGAAAAAACTCAATCAGGTTCGTTATGTTGTATTTACTTTGCTGATATTGCACATCTAAAAGCAGTAACATCAAAGTCTATTGCCATCTATGTTATTTAGAGGAGATTAGGTCTAGCACCAAGTGGAGCCTTAGTTTTTTTTTTTTTTATGTTTGATTAGGCAGTGTTAATTTCTTTAACAAAAACAAAAGAGTGAGATTAGAGAGTGCTTATTTTTTATTGTTTTGTTTTCCAAGTGCACTGGATTGTGGTCAATAGTGGAATATGGACTTATGTGTTTGTAGATTAATTTGTGATTTCCACAAGGTGAATAATTTTTGTTCGACGTGAATTTCAATAAAACTTTCCTTCCCACGTTTACTTTTCTATAATAAAACCATCTCACATTACAAACAGTTTCTTTGAGGTGGACATAATGCTAAGGTAGCTTGGGAGGTTTTATGTCAACTAAATGAGGAAGGGGCTATGGATGATGGCATGTCAGACTTGTTAAAATCTCTTAGGAACATCCATTTAAAGAAAGATATCATTTGGATCAAATAGATACACACTATCTATCTAAAGGGTGTTTCAATTGGGATTGGACACCGCCCTCTGTGGTGTCCCCTTTGTTTAACAGCTTGATCAAAATCACAAAAGAGTTGTTTTTCTTGGCATGTGGGCAGCATTATATGATTTATTAGGAAAACTGAATAGTTTTGGTTTCCCAGATAAGCCTTCTGCTATCAGGATTTATAATTTTGCGAGGACCAAATTTACTATTAATTAAGCCAAGGATGACCCTAATCTGGAAAAGATATTGATGGGTTCACATACATAAACCATGATTAAATAGGTTACAGATGAGTCTTGCATGCGCTTGGTCCAGGTCACTGGGCATTTGAGAGTGAGCACTGGACAATTACTATGTTTAGTCTTATAATTTTACTCATTTACATAAAAAATAAAGGTGAATAATTTCTGCTCTTCATCCCTTCTCCTGATGTTTAGCCTTTGTATTCTTTAATTCCTTGTACGTAGTGAATAAGCTATCGGTCTTGTTTGATTTTTTTGCTCGATTTACATATTGGAAGCCGTTGGTTAAAAATGCATAGCTACTTCTTGGCCCAGAAAACAAGACATGACGATGTGAAGGGAAGTAGCAGTTTTCATCCAAAAAAGTGAAGGGAAGTAGCAGTTGGCTATTCAGAAAATACTATGGATATAGAAAATTATGGCTTAGTTTATTGTTGTATATCCTATGAGGTTCTTTACATCCTCTCATTTCTTTTGGGATAGAATGGAATTGAATGTTTGAATGGCATTCTTATCAACTTAGCAATGAAAAGCTGGCCTTACTTCTCATTGCTTTCTTGGCTTCTCTTTGCTTCTATTTCATTGTTGCTATTTGTGTGTATTTCATTGCATATCATTTATGTCACCTAATAATTTATTTTTCAATTAGATAAATGTAGTAAGTTGCAACAATAGATTGAATTGAATATTTATTGTGATACCCTTGTATATTATTTTTTGTTTCTTTTTGTTGTATCATGTGTATTGCATTTTGTTGCATAATGTTGTTTTTTGTTGCATCTTGTTACTTTTTGTTGCAGTGTGTTTCTTATGATTGTTTATTGTTGATTCTGATTTTTGTATTTTATTTAAATAGCTATTATTTTTCTACATATTTAAAATAGAAATATCTATATAGGTTTAGTGTAAATCAATTAGATACAGACACCTAAAAAGTTAAATTTTGATTTATGAATATGAAAAGCAACATGATACATAAAGAAACAATGAAAAACAAAATTTTCATAATTATCAACAAAAAGAAACACAGGGAAATCATAAGAAACAAAAACTAACAATAAAGTAACAATACTAATAATTAAAATTTTAAGTACTTTAAGAAAAATTACAATAGAGAATTGGTATTTTACTTTCTCTTGAATATGTAATTATTTTTCAAGTTCATCATATTTAAATTTCAAATTTTAATTCCATGAGTATATTTTATTTTTAAATACTTTTAAGTGACATTAATTTTCTGATTTTTATTACTTATTTTATACAGAGTATATTTTACTAGAAAAAAATTATTTAATGTATTTTCAACTATTTAATTTTTTTTTATTTTCTCGGATTTTAAAGATATAAATTATTTAATGTATTTTCAACTATTTAATTTTAATTTTTTTCATTTTCTCGGATTTTAAAGATTTATATATTTCTTTGAATTTTAATTTTTTTTGTTTTTATTCTAAAATTTTTACTCTCTAATTTTTAAAACTATTTTCATGTTTTTAATATTTTAAATTTTTTATTTAATTTATCGAAAGTTTAAGATTCTAATTTCAAATTTTAATTTGCGTTTCTTCATTTTTTGAAAAAAAATTATATTTTTTAATTTTTATACTTTTATATATATATATATTTCTCTTTATTTATTCAATATAAATTTCATTTTAACATAATTTATTTAATTTTGAATACCTTTTTACGATACTTATTAGTCTCTCATAATTTCCAGAATTTATAAATGTGCTTTAGTTATTTATGTTTTTAATATTTTTATATTATATCTACATTTGTATTGTCTAATATATTTATTTATTTTAATTTTATAGTACAATCATAATATACTCCATGTGAAGTTTGCACTTTACTGAGTTTCTATAATTCTTCCTATAGCCGTTCCGTACAGCCGTTGGGACGTTTCCCCCCATTAACATGGATAACTATTCAATGTCTATTAGTGAAAGGAAACCCGTTCCTAGTCTGTTTTTGAAAGAAAAGTTGAAACATGAAAAAAGTGATATTAATTTCCCTCTTTGGTCTTCTTCCGTAAAATTCCCATCTATCTATAGGGGTGGGTCGGATAGTCCACCGGCCTGGAAAATTGTGATTTTTTTCATAATGATCAAAATAATATTACAACAGTTTAAAATTATATAATGCTAATAGGACTCTAAAGTCTCACCACACACTAAAAAGATTTACACAAAATTGACAATAACAATCATGAAAAACTTAACTAAAATTTTGATATTCAACTCGGGCCTGAGACTAGCCTAGCAACTCGGTTGCTTATGTCATGCTCCGTATACTGCAATGCACCAACCGTACTACGTGGTTGTTTGGTGTTCATGTTTTTCGATTTATCAACTTTATCAGTTCACTTTTTCACCAAACATATAATTTTTCATTTCGCGCGTCGAATTGTGTAACAGTCGAGATGAATAAAGTTAAAGTTATTTTCTGGCAGAATTGACTGAAATTACTAAATAGAACCATTTTAGCTATTTTCGTATAAATTTTTCCTTCTTTTATTGATAAAATATATTTTAAATATTTTTTCCCATAAATCAACAGAATCAGTCAATCCCGCGTTCCCGCCACTTTAATCGGAACTCTACATACATCTCAATTAACTCTCAATCACAAATGGGACTCAGTCCTATTGAATAGTTAACTCACCGGGTCCAATGTTAGTTCGTAAAAGATGCAAGTCCTCTGGATCTTATAGGTATAAGTTAAGGCATGGTTATTAGCACTGGCTGTTGGAAAAATTGTTTTAATTTAATTTAATTTAATTTAATGACCATCCTTGAATTAAAATAACAATGAATTCACAATTAGTTTGTGATAGGATCAAGTATAGTGCTCCGAAAGGTAATCACAATCATATATTAAAATGTGCAAAACCATTTAGAAATGAATGAGAAGTTGTTCTTTGAACTTCGCCAAAGACAAGTTTAAGAAGTGAGTTTGTCCCACACTGGAAATGGAGAGGTAAAAAAGTGTCTTTTTATAAGTTTTTCTTAGCTATTAGGTTGGACCCCTGGGACACCGAAGTTTTGTTGAGCGGCGATGCCCGTATACGGTAAGCGTCATGGAATTAACTGTTCACATGCGCAGTCGCTGCCACCGTTCGTCCGGCCGGTCGGGTCGAGTTCAAGTCTTTGATGGGTCAACGTTGGGTATCCAACATTCCACTTAAAGACTTTACGTTTTTGGATTAGTATTTTGACGGAAAATGTATGACTTTTAGTTTGAAAGAAAGGTCATCACCTTTCATTCAATAGGTGCCTTTTGGGTGAGACATTTGATGTGTTAGTCGAGCAAAATAGTCTTAACGAGACAACACTATCTTTGGGCTCGAATTTTTTGCGTATGCTTTTCCTTCTCCGATACATAACAATGGTATTCTCGATTAGCGGCCTATAAGTGTTCTAGAAGGTTTAATGCACTAAACCCCCCAGTGATATGGAAATTCGGCGCATTAGCCCCATGTGATTTGAAAAATGCATGAAACTCCCCCTTGTGTTTTAATTAATCATGCACAGAACCCCTTTAATGAATAAATTCAATTGTCAAATAAAAGAAAAATGATTAACACTTTTATATTATTTATAGATTTTGACATATTTACTTGCATATTCAATCAAAATATTAGGAAAACTGGTGCGAATGCGCCGAATTTATTCATAAAAGGGGGTTTGTGCATGATTAATTAAAACACAAGGGGATTTGACGCATTTTTCAAATCACAGAAGGCCAATATGTCGAATTTCCATATCACGAGCGGGTTTGGTGCATTAAACCCGTGTTCTAGAACATCTAATCCATCAATGAATCCATTCAAGGCATGACCGTATGAGCATTTCTTAGCTTTCTCTCCATCACTGTTGGGTTATTCATCAACTACATATTAACAACGCCATTTGGACTCTTACACTACCTCAACGTATCCATCCCTATAGACCAATCGCAGAGCTATTACACCTCAACGTTTTCAAGAAAACTTTACATGGTTTCAAACAAGCTCATTAGATGAGATATAATCAGTTCACCATTTCTTGTGCAAATTCACTTCCAAGAATTCGAGGTTGAGGAACCATTGTTGACTTATGCTTTCAAATGGCATATTTTACTACCAATTCAGATATAATAATTTCATAATTAGTAGATTCATCCGGTGTTTTAGCAAAACTTCGAACAATTTAAATGCATTCATAAGATTCAATTATGGTCTTTTTACTTTCGATTCAATTGACTTCATGATAACATTCATAAGATTCAATCAGGGTTTGTTTACTTTCAATTTAATTGACTTCATGATGGTTCAGCCATTATGTCATTTTTCCTACGACTTAATTGAAATCATAACTTAATCACTCAATCGGAAAAATGAGTTAATCATTAAACTGGAAAGTAATAGTCCTTTCCTTTAAGAAGTCTTTTTTGTTAATTTTTTAATGGATTGTGGAATAAATTTATGTTGATAAATGACGTTTCTCATTGACATTATAACCCAATAATAATACTAAATTGATTGTTTTATTTTATTCAAACTGTTTATTCAACACACAAAATACATACTTCATATATAAATATCACTTAATCCAAAAAATTATTTCATATAGACATCTTAATATAGAGAGAGTTTAATAGAAAAAAGTAAAACACCCTAGATTTTGTGTTACCAAATTTTTTCATAATCTTCTTTTTGAAGTTGCTATCCCTTCTAGTTTCCATTGAGTACCTAATTAAGGCCCGTTTAGCAAAGTTGACTTACAAAAGAGGCCCAATACACCTTTTTAAAAGAAAGAGGCCCAAGATATTTTTTTGAAGCAAAGAGGCCCAATACGTTTGAAACAACGATGTGAATTTATATTTATAAACATAAAAAATTGACAGTCCCTGAGATTGCTTCTCTCGGTCACTCCTGGCTCCTGCCTTGAACGAAAAGAAAACAAAAGCATCGCCTTGTTCTATATAAACGAACTGACTCGGTAACGACGCGACTCGGTTGAAACAAGGGGTGATTATCGACTGTAGGGAGTTCGAAGATGTTTAGGAACCAGTATGATACAGATGTGACGACATGGTCGCCGGCTGGACGGCTGTTCCAGGTGGAGTACGCAATGGAGGCCGTGAAACAGGGTTCGGCGGCGATAGGTCTGAGATCGAAGACTCACGTAGTCTTTGCTTCCGTCAACAAAGCCAATTCCGAGCTTTCTTCTCACCAGAAGAAGATCTTCAAGGTCGACGATCACATTGGAGTTGCAATCGCCGGCCTCACCGCCGATGGCCGCGTTCTGTCCCGGTACATGCGCAATGAGTGCATTAATTACAGTTACTCGTACGAGTCTCCACTCCCTGTTGGCCGACTTGTTGTTCAGCTTGCTGATAAAGCACAGGTCTCACTCTAAATGAAAACCCTAATTTATGCGCTTTTTATTCTAGTCAATCTTTTCAATGCACGAGCTATCGAATCGTGTTCCACTGATCGATTCTTTCTTGGAGCGACGCTCGGTTGGAATATCCGATTCAATTCTTATCTTTAGTTAATTTGAATCTCTGGGTGCTGGTTTTTTATATGCTCCTTGACCTTTGATATTTAATTCATCGGTAAACGTTTTTTAAAGTCCTGCTATCGACATACCACTTCACTTACTAGGAAGCCTTGGTATAACTGCAGTGTACTTGTGACTTTCTAGCTAAATTGCTACCTGCTGGTTAATTCATCCTGAGCAGTAAGTAGAAACGAGCCAGCAATAAGTGCTTAATTTTTCAATATTCTTAGGATACCTAAGACTATCAAAGAAAAATAAAAGTTTCTGGATTTTTGGGACGGCTAGTCACCAGATTGTAATTTGTGAAAGTTTAAAATGTGCTAGGAGATTAGTGCATGTTGTGGTTTAAGAACTCCATTTTTCATTTCAGACACTCCCCATCATGAGCCTATTATACTTAACTAAACACTAGATCAATAATGTTTAGCTTCTTCTCTCAAAGAGGCCAACTCAAGTCCAGTAGGTTAGTGTGTTCAGTGTTTTGTTACCATTCTTTTCCTATTATAATAACCATGCTTGAACACCAGACTGTTTCTGTTATTCAAATACAGAAAGTCGAAAAATTGCTTTTTAATGTGTTTGGTGAATTCTTAGAAGTGATTCTGGGACCTTCTAACTGATTACTGATCCATTTAAGAAGCCACTCTCCTGACTCCTGTTTATTAGAATTGGCTCTAATTATTTTAGTTATTATTCTGCTATCACATCACAACAGCAAATCTGCCATTTTTTCCGTTTGAAGCTTTATTACATAAACCAGTAATTGTGATACACTTTGGATAAATATATATTCTCCTCACAACACTATTCTGGGTTCTGTTTTTAGTTTTGAATCAAAACCTCCAAACACCATTTAAGACAAAAATGATAACCAGAGTCAGCTTTTAGAATCTTGGGTAAATTATAATCATTTTGTATGATAATCACTTCAAAAAAGTTAATTGAACAACCTATGAGTAGCCAAGATCTGCTTTTTAAAACTGCATGATCAGTTTCAATAAGTTAAAGAAACACGCTCCTTAAAATAAAAAAATCGGAGCTATACTTTGTAGGTGGAATTTGGAAATAATAGAAAGGCCTAAGGAGTTAATTGAGATTTGCATGAAATTCTAGCACTAATGATTAATATGCATCTATGTTCCTCATTTTATTTATTGTGTTGTCTCATCATGATTTGTAGTAGGGGTGGGCATAATGGTTTGGTTTGGTTGAACTGAACCGTACCAAACTGAGCTATATCAAACTGTAACCGAACCGAACCATATGCAATTCGATTTGAGTTTGGTAGTATTTCTTTCACTGTATCGGGCAGAACCAATGTATAAAATTTAATAAATTCTTAATATATTTTGAAGAAAAAATCTAAACCAAACCAAACTGAAACAGTATGATTTTTATTTGTGAGTCTCTGGTATTGGCGTCCCTTTTATCCAAATGTGTCTTTCCTTACCAGTTTACTAAACAGGTAGGCTGCATTAATAGTTTCTAGGCATGTAATGTATCATCCGAGGTTTGCTGAAAATATAGGTATGGACTGGCTTCATTCAAAAATTTAAAAGATCCAGGTTGTACAAACTAAAACTGTTATATTTAGAGGCCGTTTGGTAGCACGAAAATCGGCTGTTTTGGCTGATTCTGCTGAAATTTATAAAGTTTTGGCTGAAGTGGCTGCATTGGCTGATTCTGCTGATTTAAGAATTTTTTTTTTAAAAATATATTTTATTAATAAAATAAAGAAAAAAATTGTATGTAAAAATAGCTAAAATGGTCCTCTACATTAACTTCAGCCAATACAGCCAGAAAATTAACTCCAACCTTACTTTTTCAGCTTATTACACAATTCAGTGCGCGAAAGCAAAAGTTACGGGTTTGATGAAAAAGTTGGTTGATAAGCCTGATAAGCCGAAAAACAGTGTTCCCAAACGGCCTCTTAATTACTTACCAGTTACCACCTTATTGTATGTGCCTCAACATGCCTGCTAATAGGTAGTGCATGAAGGTAATTGCCTAAAACTATGACTGCAGGTAATACCGGACTGACCTCATTTGTGTTGCCTAAAAGTATGACTGCAAAACATGATGGAAAAGTCATTCCCTGACTCTCTGTAGTGTTGTACACCCTATCTGTTACTCCCTCAGTCCCATAGTTAATTTTCAATTGTTCACAATCTTCTTTTGCTGTGCCAAATTAAACTTCTCATTATCTTATAAAAAAAGAATTGTGTGATTGAAATTGAGAATTTTTCAAACAATTCTCGACCACACAATTTCACTTTTGAAATTCGGATATAAGAAGTGTACAAGAAGAACAAATGGGGATATACAGAGGGCTCTATTTGAAAGAATTGATCAGATTATTCTATTCCTGTTTGGTTGTATAAATCGGTTTATCCTGCTTATCCGCAGAACATGCACCAAAGTAGTTGATATTTGATCCAAGTAAGTTTTTTGCATAGTTGGCTGAATTCGATTTCACAAAATGCTTTTCCTTCCAAAGAAGTTTTTTGATCCAAGTAACCCTCACCAAACAGGCCCTTATTTGTGCCTCGGCTGTGCTAACACAATTGTTGTTTGTTCAGGTTTGCACGCAGAGGTCGTGGAAAAGGCCATATGGTGTTGGCCTCCTTGTAGGAGGGCTAGATGAGTCGGGAGCACACCTCTATTACAACTGCCCAAGTGGAAACTACTTCGAGTACCAAGCATTTGCCATTGGGTCTCGCTCACAAGCTGCAAAAACATACTTAGAGCGTCGATACGAGACCTTCATGGATTCCCCAAGAGAAAGCCTGCTCAAGGATGCACTCTTTGCATTGAGAGAAACCTTGCAAGGAGAGAAGCTGACGAGCTCGGCCTGCACAATCGCCGTGCTTGGGGTAGGGGAGCCATTCCACGTGTTGGATAAAGAAGCTATACAATCTTTAATCAATGAGTTTGAGGTTGCGGGAGGTGAAGAAGAAGAAGCAGTCGGGGAGGGTGATGCTCCTGCTGCTCCTGCCGCTCCTGCCGCAGACTCAACTGGCGCTGAAGGAGCAGCTCCAATGGATATATGATGATAGTAATGTTCCAACTTCTTTATTCATCGATTTTCATTTGAAGTGTGGATTTATGTTGCAGATCTGGATTCTGGATGGTACTCCAGCAGGTCGGAGACCATCTTTTGCTTAATTGGTGTAGCAATGTGTGTTCTGTTTAACTTCATAATAACTTTATGGTTTTGAAGTTTACATACGAGACAGTATTCTGATTTCTGAGTTTCATTTTACAGTAAAATGCTTTCCTTCAGACTAGCGAAGCATACTGCTTTATTATTAGCAAAAAGAAATATGTCATAAAACTTTTCATGCCAATTTTCCTCCTAACCCGCCCAGATAGGTTTGGTCTCACGTAAATAGATTTGTATTTTAAATAGTATTACTAGTATGTTTATAGTTTTAGTGGATAGTTGGATACATTTATGTATAATAACTAACAAAGTTCTTTTGCAAAAAAAAAAAAAAAAAAAAAAAAAAAAAAAAACTAACAAAGTTCATTTCACTTCTGGTAAAAAAAACAAAGTTCATTCCACCGTAGGATAATAATATTTTATTTACTCCTTATTACAACATAATACTTCCTCGGTTCCAAATGATGTCCTCATATTCGTTTTTGAGATGTTCTCATCTTTTATCGTTTGAACTACTTCATTAATACTTCCAAGACAATTAATTTGGTACGGAAGGAATATTATATAAACTATCAAAAGGGGAATTGTTTTGAATGTCCCAAAGGTATGAATGCAACATTTCAACATGCTAATTTTGTATCTCTGGTAAATGTAATGAATTTTGTATTAATAGCCATAATCGGTGACGCCGAGATGTAGATTGTATCTTTCATGAATACAAGTTTATGAAGTCAAGCTTATAATTTAAATAGTCAAATATTTGGGAGTGAACAATTAACATTCATTTGTGAATGAATTATCTATATTCAAGTTCTAAAGCCACTAACAATATAAAAAATATCATAATATTAATCTCGCACATTCTGATTTGGAGTGTTGAGCTTATACCACCACAAAGTTAAGTTTGGGGTATATAATTATTTTTCACAATGTCAACTGTATATATTGATACCTCCTTAAAAATAGACAATTTCTAAATTCAATGGTTGAGACTTGAGAAGCATTTGGCATTGGTTGTAAAAAAAAAGCATTTGGCATTGTTTGAACAAGGAAATGACCCAACGTTCCAAATTAAAACCAACAATTAAATAATACGGAGTACGTAGTATGTGTTTTTCTATTACTCCGTATATTATTTTTAAATTCTTTGACCGAAATAAGTTACAAAATATAATCAACCAAAACATAACTTTACAAACTGTGCGTGTTTTAGTTTTATATGTTTTAGTTTTATACTACGGGTATGTATTTAGAAAAAAACTAACGTTACCAAATATAATCAACCAAAACATAACTTTACATTGAACTGTGCATCTTTTAGTTTTATAATCTCTCCATCCCCCAATTAAGTTCCATGATGAATTTCACACATGTTAAGGAAATAAATTTACTAATGTAAGGGCTAGGAGTTGGGTCTGTTGGGGTGGGATAGGGCTAGGATGGCAGTAAGGTGGGGCCGTGGTAGGGGCAAGTTGGTAGTGGTGGGGTAGGGTCATGGTTAGGGGTAAGGGTGGGGGTAGTGGTGGGTATGGTGGGGTCGGGGTAAGGTAGGGGTAGTTGTCACGCCCCGGACCTCCCCGGACACGTCAACAATCCGCCGTACAATACGAATAGTCAACCGCAGTCCAACACATTCATATTATACAAGGCGTCTTGAATATCATTCACACATATAACATCCATAAACAAACATAATGAGTAATTCATAACGCAGTGGAAAACATTGTTTAACACAAAAAGGGCCACACAAGGCTATTCATGAGCACACAGTGTCACGCCCCGGACCCCATCCGTGCCACGTAGACAACCGCCGTACAACCCAATAAGAACAACGTAGTTCATTCTTATTAAATCATACAAGGCGTCCGATAGATTCTATTGCCAAACCGATTAGTAAACCCATACAATCAACATCAATATATTACTTAAACAAATGCGGAAATAAAATATGTTTGATGATTAGCCACATGTGGCACACATGAGCACGCAGACCCTTTAATAGTTTAACAGAAAACATTGTTCAAATATCCATGAGCATTTTCATAAGTCAAATAAGAATGGAAGCACGAACCAAGTCTTCCTTATTCGAAGTCCACCCTATGCAAAGGTGCAGGTAGCATGACTTTAGCCTTAACCTGAAAAATAGTGAGGGCCCCCGGAGGGGTCAGTACTTCACAGAAAGAAGTACTAGTGACAAGCAGGCTATATGAGGAATAACTAATGTTTCAGACACGAGACCCAAAAATAGGATGATACATATATTTATAGGTGTAACCATTGCTACCCCCATTCCCAAGATAATACATACTGTATATACTTGTAAAATACTTGACCCGTAGGTCGTTTTCTAACAAAAAGTCTTTTAGAGATAAGGTACTTACCCAACCTTTCCCCTTTCATTCCTGAATGCCTAGCTCAAGAGCTACATTCTACCTTCATAATATCCTACCGAGTTTCAGGAGTGTTTACCGTCCCGGGGATAGTCAACCCCAACCGAGTTTTAGGATCATTTACCGTCCTGAGGATACTCAACCTCAACCGAGTTTTAGGATTATTTACCGTCCTGAGGATACTCAACCTCACCGAGTTTTAGGATTGTTTACCGTCCTGAGGATACTCAACCTCACCGAGTTTTAGGATTGTTTACCGTCCTGAGGATACTCAACCTCACCGAGTTTTGGGATCGTTTACCGTCCCGAGGGTACTCAACCTCAACCTTATTCCTTACCAACCCTAACTTGGATATGGCTAACCTTTCATTCACTTAACTATGGACAATACCTAGTCCTATAGTCATGTAACAATCCTTAGTAACCAATGTGGACGGGTCCCACCTGATCGGTCCACGTTAACCTACTCAAAAACTACCCGTTTTGAGTATAACCCAATACTCGATCGAGTACCCACCTATACTCGGTCGAGTACAGGAGACAGTAGCCCGTAAGGCTAATTTTCCATGCATACTCGATCGAGTACCTATCCATACTCGATCGAGTATAGGAGACAGCAGCCCTCGGGGCATATTTCCAGCAAATACCCGGTCGGGTATTTGCCAATACCCGGTCGGGTATTGTAGTTGACTTGGCGGTCAATGCCCGTTTGACCGCCTAAACGGAGTCCGATTAACGTGAAATTTTACATGCATGTACTACTTGAAGTCCTTGATCCAAAAATACCTGTTTTGGCCCTTGGAACATCATACATATCAATTTATATTAATTTCACTAATCAAACCTACATTTCATGCTTTCCAACTATGTTATGGTTTCTATCATGACATAACACATACTTTACTACCATTAATCAATTCATAAAACACGTTCTTGATTAATTTAGGTAATCTCATGCCTCACGCAAAAGTTATAAAACATATAGCCGTCTTCTCACCTTATTGAAGCTTATGAAGTTCTAGCCTTCCCGGTTTAGTCTCGGTGAAACTCCGGTGAACTTCAACGAACTCCGGCGACAATTCCGGCGACCCTTTCAACTCCGTGAAGGTTCTTGAAATACCTTATACAAGTTAATAACAAGGTTTTATCATCATAAAACCCCTATCAATACAAATAACCTCTAAAAGGTTATTTTCTGACGAACCGGTCAACTTTGTTCTCTAAATCCGTTTTGGATATGAACCAACCCTCCAACTCCCATTCTACACTTTTACAAGTGTAGAACTATACTAGGAGTATGAAATATGATTATAGTGAAGAAATGGGGTTAATGAAGTCATTACCTTATTAACCACAAGTTTTCCTCCTATTTCTCTCCCTTCTCTTCTTCTATTTCCTTCCTTCTTCCACCCCTTGCTTGGGTGCGTGAATGGTGGCTGCTATGGAGTATTTTCAGAGCTTCCCTCACCAAATAAGAGGGTATGGCCGAGCTGCAATGAGTTGGGATGATTGAGAATGCCTTTTTGGCATTTCTCTCAATAATGGCATGGGAGAGGTCCCATCCATTTCATTGTTTGATCCCAATCACTTCATGCTCCCTCTTCTATCTTTCTTGTGCGGCTCCCCCTATTCCCTTGCAGCCTAAAATCGTGGGGTGGCCCCCACTTATGTGGGAGGTCATCCCTTTGTGTCCCCAAGTGTACACTTGGTCCCGAAAGTTGTATTTTCCGGACTGTTTTTACTATATTTCATTTTATCGGATCCAATGAAATATCTATCATTCTTCCAATTATTATTGGCTTTTAGAATGAATATACATCCCCCAACTTTTAAATTAGCGGTCTCCATGATTTATTATGGCTTTTATCTGTTAGTACTTCGGTACCGATAAATGGGCTTTATATGCCCAAATGGTTACGCATATACGTTTTATGGACCAACATGGATATCCACCATTATACACGTATTATCTTGACCCAAACGAATATAATATGTGGTCCCGATAATATCGGGCGGCCCCATTTCCGGTGTGGGCCCCACGTGAATTTTACTATTCACGTAAAAGAAATGATAAAAATTCACAATCACGTAAAATGCGTTTATTCATTTCTTGGGTTCAATACATAATTTGATAAAGTACAAATACTTGGGGGCGGTGTTACACACAGGTTCTTTAGTAAAATATCCATGAGCATGTTTAATATTGTTCAAAACAGAATGGAGAAGGCACGAACCACGTCTTCTCTCCAAAGGATCACCCGAGCAACGGGCACAAGTAGCAAGCTCGAGCGTCAACCTGAAATGGTGGTGGGACGCCCCCGAAGGGGTCAGTACTCTATACGGCTATAAAGTACTGGTGTGGCAGGCATCTAATAGATATACATGCAACAAGTATTTCAAACACAAGACCCTCAAATAGGGTGATAGTACATTATGATTGTAACCCTAAGTTACCCCGTTGAAAATATACTTACTTTATATAAAAGTCAAGTAGTCGGCCCGTGGGCCCATGTTCTTTTAGAAATCACCATTCCCATTCCCCGTGACTATAAGCCACGACAACTCATAGAGTCCAACCCTAATACATGACATTGTATTCTAGAGCTCGGCTCTATCACATCACCATACAATTCATGTCACTCGGGCCAATTTCCTTACCTTGCGTTCTAGAGCTCGGCTCTATCACATCACCACGCAAGCCCTAGAGCTCGGCTCTAGTTCAACAATACATATACTACAAGTCTACCACCTTACCATGCATTCTAGAGTTCGGCTCTATCACATTACCATGCACCAAGGTCCAATTCCTAAGCAAACCTATGCCTAGAATTGACATATCAATAAACTACCATGTATCATCCTTAAAGACTGCCCATAACTTAACCTTAGTTTCATACTAAGTCATTATATATACTTGAAGTATATTCAATTGCATTTCATACAATCAAATCCCTAGGATCAATTCCAACAACAATTTCCAATAATCACTAACTAGTATTTCAATACTATTAAGATTATTGTTATCATACCAATATTCTCATTTTGTAATTCTCTACATATTTATAATTATGTAGCAGCAAATTAAATATTCAATCTCAATACATAAATATTCATTTATGTATCCTCATATTTCATACATGAGTAAAATTCCTATTTCGCAAAATAGTTCATTTATAACTCAATTAATCTCTTATTATTCATACAACCTCAAATCACTTCCAATTGCATTCTTTGGAAACTATATCAATAATTCATCAATATTTAATCACCATAATCCATGAAAAATTATGATTTAGGCATTTAGGTAATCTCATGCTTAACCTACAAGTTGTAAGCAATTAGATGTCGATCCTCACCTTAATTGAGCTTTAAACTTTTCCTTCTTGATCCAATGGTCAAAGCTTTGGTCAAGATGGATTAAGAACTGATTCCTTGCTTAAATACGAGTGTAAAACAGCCTCCTCAAAGTGCTAGCTCAACCCCTAAACTTCGATGCAAAAACAGCCCCTCGAATGGGTGTTTTCCGGCGAACTCGTTT